ACGTTATTCCTCGTAAAATAATCATCATTTTTCCGATCCACCCTCTCTTTACCTCTCACTCTCACCTAAATTATGAGTTCTGATATTATCTCATATTTTTATTTTTTTTTTAATTCATTCTTTCTCTTATAGTGTCTTTTTAGCCAACATTGACATACTATGCATTTCGTTAATTTTCTCTTTTATTGTATTGATATTAAATGAGGTAACTTAAACTACTATACATTTATCCCGTGTCCCATATTATTTATATGGCTGACTGACTGATTGATTGGGACTTTAGAGTTAGCTAAAAAACATTTAATTTGTTATGTTGTTGAAGTTTATACTGCATAACTATTTCAAACGCTGGTGTTTCTCTTAACTAAAATTTTATTAATAGAAGCGAATTTTATGCAGTAATTTTATCCTATTATTTGATGTAAATATAAATTATCAACACACTATGTACATATGTATTGTTATTTTTAATATCTTGATTAAACACCAAATATTCTTCATATAATAATGTATGATTAGTACAGCAAATCCGACACTCATATGCATATATATATGTTTTGGCGGCTGACTAATATCTTAACAAAACCGCTAATCAGAATCCCGATTGATATGAATTAATATCTCTGTCCTCAAAATACCCTGGTACGGTCAGGAGTAAAACGAATCAGCTCTCCCTCTCGAAATGCTCCCATATGGAAACGCGTATACAGCCACTGATATGGAAGTCCTACTCACTGCCTTCTCGTCGCGTGGGTGTTGTTTACGAAGTAGAGAGGACGAAAAGTGAATGTCCGATGCTTTAACCGGGTAGGTGGGTATGGAGGATTCACCTAGAAGAGTTGGAAACCCTTGATTGCAAATCAGTAGTACACTTAGGCTCCAGGCTCCTAAGAGAGCAAATGGCGTATGAATCTATTGTTGACCACCGGCTACCGTGGGACTTCATCTCCTAACGTTGCTCCACTGATTTGTGAATAAAGCCTTTAGGCCAAAGCCTCGGGGTGTGGCCCATTAAGAAAACCAATTGTTTCGGTCTGGACACCCGGGCAGTATTCCAGCCTTCATACAAATAAAATGACGAAATATGGTGCCTTCATGTACCAACGTTTATATGTTCAATGAATAAATAAATAAAGTTGACCAATTACACGTCCAACCAACACTAGTAACCTTGAGCCAACTAATAAATCTTTACTGGTTTACAATTCTGTAGCTTCTCTCTCTGACCTGCCTGAGAGTCCAGAAGTCATTAATCAGCCCCAACGAATGTTACATTCCAAACAGATGTGGTTTACATATAAGCAGACCAAACTATATCAGATCATGAAATTAAAAAAAATCTAATTATACACGTGCAAGCCCAAAAGTTGCGTCGGCTAGAGGGAGGCTGTAAATAATAAAGTAGGAACAAACTAAGATATATATATATATATATATATATATATATATATATAGTAAGGTAATGATTATACAATAAGAATATGTTTATAATAATAGTCCATAAATTAGTCCTCATAGTTACCATTCATTGATTCTTCAGTCTAACATAAAAAGTATAATCTGTTGCGTAACTTAAAATCATTGTCTTTTATATTTGAGATTTAATCAACACTATTTGCAACTTGTTTGAAAGTCAGTTAATATTCTAGGTTGTGTTTTTTTTTAGCTAAAAACGATACATTACATTAACTTTCCATTAATATGTCAGCAACTCTTTAAAACATACACTTTCAAAGACTAAAAAATGTAATATATCATGCTGAGGAATCTTTTTTTTTTCAAATGTATACCAACTTTTAAATATAAAAATGTTTCATAGTATAAATTTTTCTATTATATTTTACTAGTGAGAAATGAACTAACATTCTTTTGTGTTAGTTGTTAATACATGTGATTATTTAGGTTTACAGTTTCTATGATTAATTTTCTCTATTTTATTTCTAGTTTTACATTGATTTTTCTTTGATGTATATATCCAACAGAGTGTATAATTAGTTTCATAGTTCACGTCTGATCACTTAACTACACTGATTTCTTATAAAATGTAACGTTTATGTATATTGGCTTAGTCAACAGTAAAATGCTAGGAGCTCATATGTATATCTGTATAACAACTTCCTGTATTTTTTTGGTGTAGTTACGGTGCGAATTTCCAAATGTTTGAGCTTTCATTTATAAAACATTTTCATTCTGTTAACTGTTTTGTGTGTGAGAAAATAATTGACAAAGCATAAGGTGACTGTAACTAATTATTGAATTCTGAGCATGTTTTTTATTTCATATAGAAAATGACAGTTGAATATGTCTACATGTTGTGCAACGAGTGATTATATTGACAAATTTTAATTATGAGTATAAAAGGATTTGTATAGACTGGAGAATTTTCATGATTTTGATCACAAACTGATCTTAGCTAGTTTTTTCCTAGTGTAGGACTGCTCAACAGTGTGCATCAACGAGTTTGCATCTGGAATTCAAACTCAGGAAATTCGATCTCGCTTGTGAATGCTCACCATCTGAGCCGCTGAGGCGATACCTAATAATGTGCATCTTGAAATTTAATTAATTCACGACATTACTCAACCCTACAATAGCACATTGACTTAATTAAAAGCTCTGTGATCCTTTAAAATAGCTGACCACAGATTAGAGTCCCGGTGAGGATAATACAATGTCGCGATGACTGTAGAAAAAGAACATACTCTGAGTTTTATTGTTTTATTTTACTTTTCAATAATAATACATTGCATACAATTGTATTTTTCGAATTAACATCTTGGAGAAATAAATGTTTTTCATTTACTGTGAGCCTTAGCCATGTCGATGGATGCAGACTACTTGGTTAAGGTCAAGGCAATAACCGCTGTCAACAGTTAGCAGCGTTGGATGGCAACATGGGTTAGAAACGGTTATAGTGGAACAGGTTTATTCTGTCTTCATTTTTTTCAGATGTTGATTTCCAATATTCTTTCATATATACCTTTTTGTTTCTTGCTGTTGAACTATATTCTCAAAGTTTGGTCTTTCTCATCATCATTATTGTTAAATTATCCCAATTCCTTTACTATTCACCTGATTAATTTCCTATTGTCTTATTTTAATGTGTAACATAGCAACTTAAGCCAATACATATTTCTACCAGGTTCTACAGTGCTTATGATCGACTAACCAAGTGAATTATTCCATTTTTTTTACCTATTCAATATTAAAAGTATAAATTATTTGGGAAAAAGTTAATAGTAGTATTAGTAATAGAGTGTTCTTCTGTTTCTTTTTTTCCAAAATAAAACAAAATTGATTACTTCTCATTCGAACTGATTTTAAGACATAAAGATATTAAGAATAGAAGTATGATAGATAAATATGTTTTCGGATTGTTTTTCTTCATAACCTATCTCCTCCTTTGCTTCTCTAACTTGTTTTTTTTCGATCATTATCTTTTTTCCCTTAAAAGTCAGTAAGAAAATATTATCACGATACGATGTGATTTATCATACTTATAAATATTTCTAAAATATGTATACATATATTACTTCTATTCAATATTATCAATAATTATCGTTGAAATAAACGAGTAGTAATGACTTCAGCAAAGAGGCTAGTTTAAGAAAACTGACCACCGATTCGCTTTTCTTTAATCATTGTTGAAATATGTGAATGACATCACAGATTTCAGTAGGTCTATGTACGATAGGGGATGGTTGGAAAAGAGTTAGGAGCGGCCAAACCAAAACGTGACATCAGTGCTTGAAGTTACTAACTTCCAGTCTGAGCCATGTTGATAGATGCAGACAACTTGGTTGGCGTCCGCGTGACTATCGTAACCAATGGTTGGAGACTCTAGATGACATGGCTCAGAATAGATCACAGTTGTGTAGGTGTATACACTCTTTATCTTCCCTTAAACCTTAAGATTAAAATTGCTTCATAACTTTCTTTCTTCCTATACTGTATCCTTATATACAACCTTTCTTTTATATACTATCATCACTAAATTAACTACTATGAATCCGGTGTTCATCTTGTTGTGCTAACGAGGTATGGCAACTTGGACCGATGCATAAATGTACCTGGTCTTACGTTGTAGCTGACTGACTGACTGATAGCCATAAAATGTATTTAATAAAGCGTATTGATCTGGTTTTATTCATTTGTTATTTATCATACTTGAGTACTTTGTCGAAAACCTACTGCTTAAGCTTTTAACAGAGTTTAACAGTCACATATTTATTAGAAGTTGCAAAGTAAAGGCACCCAGTTGAAAAATATCAGTCTAAATGTGGTCTTAATTAAAACTTATCATTAAGGGTGATAGCCATAATCTTTGGGGAACTGACACTTAGCCTTCATAAATGGGCATAGTAACCATTATCATCTTGTCAATCCCTTATTTATGATATAAATCTGAAAGGCAAGTCGCCAACAGATCAATTGACCTGGTCACTCAGCATTGTTATACGATTCATATGATGAGATCTGACACCAAATTTCATGTTGTATCAAGTCACTGAAATAGCTTCACTTAGATTTATACTAACGAATAGACAATATGATGTTGATTACCCTTCAATAGCTGATTAATGCGTATAACTTTATTTTAAAAGTGATTCAAGTTCTATTCTATATTTGGTGACATCCATGTGTACTTAAAGAGTAATTACTGTGAGGTTATATATTTCGCTGATATAATGAGGTACATCGCTGAACTGATTTGACTGAGAAAAAATGCCATAATTTACAGTAAATTAGACCTTGGAGTATTTCGGAAACTTGGTCTCACGTTTCTGACCTCTTATCAACTGTACATCTATTGTACTATAGTCATTCTTTTAATCCGAGATTCAGTTTAAAATATAACGTGGTTAGTAGTGGGGTTTTATTAATCATTCTGCTTGTGTCGACTCTTCATAGTCTTCAACTCTGAAGATCATTATTTACAACTAAAAATCTTAACTAAAATTTACTTTAAAATATTTATTTCGTACATATTTTGAATATAGGATTCTTCTGAAATCCCTGAACATTTCTGGTTTGGAAGTAGATGAAGCTTTGCGATTGGTTGTGCATCGATATGGGATGCCTGTAAGTTGATTATTGGCAGAAAATAAAATTCAGCCTTTAATTTTTTTAAATCTTTCATTAAATACCAATCACATGTACTTTATGAAAAGAATTGTTTGAAAGTAACCCTCCCCGACGATATTATTACTTTCAATAGACTAAAGAAAAAGTATTCTTTAGATAATGGATGAAGGATATGCCAGAATTCTTCAGTTTGGCTACCGATCATTTCTTTGTTCGGTGTAATTTTTACTAAGGGATAAATGTAAACAGTTAAAAACCTTATAACTGATAGGATTTAATAAATATAAGCCTTTTCACTCTTTCATAAAACTTCATACCGAATATTCTCAATTTATGTCTTAACTTCATTATGCTTATTTCAAGATTATAAGTAATTCTGTAAAAGTAGGCAATGATTTGAGTAGCTTTTTTGTCGACGACTAAACTTTAATTCAATTCACTTATAAAACATGACCATCATTTATTTGATTTTTCTATGAAGTTTATTTCATTTAGATTAGATGAAACCTGAAGTATTAGTAAAACATAGAGATTTGCCTCAGACTTAAACACTACTTTCAAGATGTCTAGACTGTAGATTACAACAAACTATTGATTAAGAAATCTTGCAGATAATTTGCTACTCACTTTGTAGAAGTCAACGTAATGTAGGCAGTGATGATATCCTGAAAGACAATAATAGCTTGACAATTAATTCATCTAGCTCGAAAAACTCAACATCACAAATTAATGATCGTATTTTCTTATGTGTAATAGTAATTTATCATCTTGAATGAATGATAACCTTCAATTTCTCTCAGTATCTGAGATTATTGGAATATCTTTAATTCGCCATCGTTTTGATATTCCTTTAACTGAAAGCCAATAGTTACTTAATATTTCCAGTTCAACTGAATTAGGATGATAATATAAAGAACTAATTAAATATCTCATATGATTAGGTTCAAATGATTTAGTTTCTTTCATTCATATCCCATTTGAGCGCACTAAGCATTAATGAGTAAATTAACAATTAAAATCCATTTCGTATACGTTTAATTGTAAAGCGCTAAATTATCAATCAAATCAGTCACTGGTTTATATCTCACCAACTTATTCAACGTCCATGCATTATTCTAAAAAAAAAACTATTTGTTTCTCTCATTCTAAATAATGACATAGATCACCCAATCAGCTTTTCATTTTTTTGGAATTTCTTCATTAAATAAATTTACTGTATTATATATGTAGAAAAAAAAAGAGAATTAATCTCTTTTTTCTCTTGACCTAATTTCTAATCTATTTCATCTACTTATAAGTAATCTTCTAATTCTCTACATCAGTTTTTCTATATGCCAAATGAATTTTTTTTTTAAAAAAAAAAAGAAGAATTCGTTCATCACGTTATTATTTTGAAGAAGAACTATATAACCTGAAAGGTTTTCTTCCAAAACACTTACTTATCCTACTGTCATTATGTATGTAGTTTTTTTTTCTTGTTATTATTTAGTTCTTGCTCATTTTACTGTTAACATTCAATCGATTTTTCCAGTATTGATAATGGAATATTGTGTATGAAAAAATTAGGTGGTAATTCATGTTCTATGCTGATTCCATCCTCAATTTTTTCAATGAAGATGTAAACTTGCATCTGTGTATGTGTATGTGTGGATTTAGAAGAAGCTGTGTTGACCATGCAGTAAACTTATTAAATTTTACTAACAAACTGTCTTGTTTCATTAAATTCATGATTGTTTACGTTTGATTCATCATCTATTTTTTGCTCAATAGTTATCAAATTGTTTATGATATTATAGTGGGTGAACTAAATTTATTCATACGGTAAACAGAAAAATGATTATCGTTAACCTTGTAATGATTGTATCAATATCATTTCCTCTTCGTATAAATAAATACGAAGTGATAAATTGCTAGCTAACCAATCAATAGACTTAATTGAAATTATGGACCGATCTAAGCGTGATCACCATTGAAAACCTGGATGCACTAAGCGGCCGTTTCTTTCGACTATGATTCTCCTCAGCAGTGAGCACCCACAACCCCTCACACTGGAGTCGAACCCAGGACCTTTGGTATCGCATGCGAACGCTTAACTTCTTAATCTCTGAGTTGGAATCCAACGATGTTAATGTCTAATCTTAATCAGTCTACGACAACGCGATCATCTTCCACAGTCTTTGGTAAGTAATTGCCTCATACCTGACATAGATTGGTTCCACTGATCAATACTTGTTTGGTCGTGGATGCCCACTTCTGAGGAGTTTTAATGGTGGTCAATCTTATTTCGGTTCATAATTCTAATGGATTTTAACAATCTCCACAACTCATTGCAATAATAGATTCTACTTCATTCAGATAGCAGTAAGTTGCGTTAAAATAAAAGAACCGAAGATATAGTTTGTGTTTGGTTCATTCTGTCTATTATTTTTCATGTATAACTGAGGTGAGTGTCAGCAATAGGCCAGTGAAAAATTAGGAATATTTAAAACTGATAATTCTCACAACTTTTCAGACTTTTTCCCGGCTAACGTTTTCTTAGCAAGGCTTTTTCCACGAGATGTGGTTGCCAACCCCATGACCAACCCTCATCCTTTATCTGGACTTCAGAAGGACAGTAACTCTAGAACTTACTTACGACTGTTACCCCTCATGAAGGAGCATAGACCATCCATCAGCGTTCTCAATCCAACTCTGTCCTGAACAATCGTTTCTAGTCACTATTCATCCTTTTCATGTCTGCTTCCAATTTTCGCCGAAATGTCCTCCTTGGCCTTCCTCTTTTCCGTTTCCTTTCAGGATTCCAAGTTAGTGCTTATTTCGTGATGTGGTTTGGTGACTTCTTCAATATGTGTCCTATCCACTTCTAACTTCTTTTCCTAATTTCCTCCTCAGCTAGAAGTTGGCTTTTTCTCTCACAGTAAGCTGTTGCTGATGGTATCAGGCCAACGGATATTCGTTATATTCTGTAGGCAGTTGTTTATAAACACTTACACATTTTTGATGATGGTTCTGGTAGCTCTCGGATTTTCAGCTCCGTGCAGTAGAACTGTCTTGACGTTCGTATTAGAGACTCTGACTTTGATACTGGTAGACAGTTTTTTTTGAGTTCCATATGTTTTTCAACTGTAGGAATGTTGTCGTTACTTTGCCAATCCTAGCCTCCTCCTCAGATCCTCCACGTTCATCAGTGATGCTGATCACGTACGTGAAAGACTCCATATCTTCCAGAGTTCTTCCATCAAATGTGATTGGGTTGGTGTTCTCTGTGTTGCATTTAAGGATCTTTCTTTTCCCTTATGTATGTCGAGGCCTACTGATGCAAAATCTTCTGCTACACTAGCTGTCCTCATCTGTATTTGTTCGTGTGTTGGTGTATGGTGACAAATTCCACTCAGTTGATTGGTCAACGGTGACCCGTAGTGTCGCGATTTGATCTGCGCATGACCGATCCTTGCGAAATCTAACCTGTTAATCTCAAAGTTTAGCGTCTACTGAGTCTCTTATCCGTTCCAACAACATTCTGTTGAAAACTTTTGGTGGTATTGACAGTAGTGTGATGCCTCTGTAGTTTTCACATTTGCTCATATCTCCTTTTGGTATCTTGATGAGGTTTCCTTCTTTTCAGTCTGTCGTTCGCACTTGTTCTTCCTCCCAAATTATCCTGAATAAAACGTGGAACATATTTGCAGTTACTTCCATGTCTGGCTTCAGAGCTTCAGCTGGTGTATTGTCAGGTCCTGCTGCTTTCTCAATCTTTATTTTTTTGATGGCCATCCTGATTTCTCCCTTCGTTGGTGGAGTAGCATCTATAAGAAGGCCTGTAGGTGTTGCTTCGGTGTCTTCTGAACTCAACGGAACAGGTCTATTCAAGAGTTCCTCGAATTGTTCCACCCATCTGTTCCTCAGTTCTTAAATCTCAGCGATTATCTTGCTTTCATTCTTCTTGACAGGTCTCTGGTCTACCATATTTCCTTGCTAGTTTCTTCGTTGTGTCATATAGCTGTCTCATATTTCCTTTTCGTGCAGCTTTTTCAACTGTCGTTGCTGGATCTTCCACGTATTTTTTTCTTTTTGGCCTTAATACTCCTCTTCACTTGTTTATTTTCTTGTGTATTCAGCTTTTGCCTTGACCTTCTCTGTTCTTGTTCGACTATTGTTAATTCCCGTCTTCTCGTTCTTCTCGTGAGCCGCGACCAGGGTTTCTATAGAGATCCATTCCTTATCATGATGCTTCTTGCTGCCCAGAACCTCCTGACACTTTGTAGTTAGTAATTCTTTGATCCCTCTCCACTTGTGCTCCATAGTAGTTTCTTCTTCTATCAGTAGATCGGCTTGGAACCTGTTGTTGAAAGTTATCTTCAATTTGTTGAATTTGTCAGCGTATTGAAGGAAGTGTGTATTGAACCTTTGTATTGCTGCTTTTACAGATTTCCAGAGCTTCTCTAGCTTCAGTTTCATCTTGGTCACATCCAGCTGGTGATCTGAGATCTGAACCTGGTTCTTGCGTCTTCCACTGACCTTGTGAACTTTTTAATGATGCAAAGATGATCTCTCTGGTTCTCCGTGCTATGATCCAGTGAGACCCATGCAACTTTGTGTATGTGCTTGTGTGGGAATATTGTGCCGCCTATAACCAATTTGTTGAACGCACATAAATTTGCAAACTTCTCCATTCTCTTCCCTTTCTCCCACTCAGTCCGATTCGTCCCATGATATCTTCATATTGTGTTGTCCATTCCGAATTTGGCATTTAGGTTTCCCATCAGGATGGTCAGGCCATTTCCTGAGGACTTCTTTATGATCAATTGCAGCCTCTTATAGAAATGATCTTTATCGTCGTCATTTCTATCATTTGTGGGTTATAACATTGGATAATATTCAATGTGATCCTTTCCTTCTTTGTATTGCAGGATTCTTTGATGATTCTGGATCCATGAGAATCACAACCAATAAGTGCTTTTCGTGCTTCTTTGGACAGCATTAGAGCAACTCCTTGAGTGTGTGGAGCATTTCCCTCTTCGTGAACAGGGTACAGCAACATTACTCCCGTATCTAGCCTTTTCTGTCCAGCTTAGGTCCAATGGGTTTCGCTGATTCCGAGAACCGTCAAGTTGTATCTCCTTATTTCCGTTGCTATTTGACTGGTCTTCCCGGTCTCTCACATTGTCCTGATGTTCCATGTACCTATGTTCATTGTTGCTGTGGTTGTTAGAAGTGACATCGGCCTTGGGACTTCCGAAGAGTCTGGACTTTCACCATGAGGCGTTATAATTCTTCCTTCAACTCGGAGAGCAGAGTTTAAATGGTTTAATTTGTTTCTTTTGGTTGGTACTTTTGTAGCAAGATTGTTTTCTATTATATGCAGTTGCTGAGTACATGTTCAACCCTCCTCTGTAACCGGTCTTGGGACCGGCAAAAGCCCTAGAAGAGCTACAGGCGTAGTTAGTAACCCTAGAAGAGCTACAAACTATTTACTATCAATTACAGTTATGTAGGTATTATGTATGGTTTGCATAGTAGGAGAGAAGGTCTCATTGATACTACTGAAGAAGAAACTCTGGGTTCATTAATTTGTATTCAACAATAGTTCCTATTATTCTTAAGTTTTTTCTAGCTCTTGAAATCGTATATATTATTTACTGAATTTATTCCTGTTTAACTCGATATCTTCTCATGAATCTGTTAGTGGTGCACCAAGACGATACATAAACGACATCTAGTATAAACAATTAGCTTGCATAATGTTGAACAGCATGTAAATTAGTTGTTCTAATCCGTCAAGGATTATACTATTTTAAAGTGAACGTATTTTGACTGTTATTATGAAGTGAAAGTCTTCGTATGACTAAGAAAGTATATGATTTTGTTTGTTACATTATTCATAAACTATTAGTTACAACCAACTTCACCTGGAGCCCTTCTAGGATTACTGCCGACCCCATGCCCGGATAAAGAAAGAGGGTTAGATATGGGGTTAGCAACCCCACCCCATGGAATAGAGCCCTCCTAAATACGATAACCAGAGAAGTTACAACCATGAAATAATATACACACTCAAATATCACTAGTATTTACTGGCCTATATTCACACAAAAGAATAATGTAAGTAGTAATCTGTTTGAGTGAAGAGTTGTAGTTGCTTGTAATATGTATATATGTAAATATATTCAACGTGTTCAATGTGGTATTATGTTTAGGTAATAGTGTAGTTAACAAAACACTAGTAGGGGACAAATGAATGTATTTAGACACAAATTACAGGCTATCTCACTAAATTCTGATAACCATACAACAAACAGTTAATTTGCAAATTAACAACCAATTGTCTCAATCTTCACTGTTCCTTCTGCAAATATCAGTTCATCTTCTCTAATTTCATTGTTCATGCATTTTCCTACCAAATGAGCTTCATTTCTGTTCTTTCCTTATCGATCTTTTGCCAAAATACATTCTATGTCAGACCATCACCATATACTACTTATATGGATATAAGTAGACCACACTACAATAGTACTCATATTTGAGTCAAAACCCGTGTTTTCGGCGATATTTATGCTTTCAAATATGATAATTGAGTTTTGCGATAACCAGGAACATTAATTTTATTAACAAAACAGCTTAGTTTTATTTCATGTGAATTGTTACTTACTAACTCTTTACAAACTATTAATATCAATATGTATTATTAAAATGTATCTATCATCATTAAATTAAATGTAGTACAAATTTCATCAAGATAATAAGTCGACACTGTGGAACTTGGCATTAATAGTTATGCAATTAAGTTTTTGGACAATAAATGATATTTCTTAAAAAGTTTTTTTTAATCTTTATTATCTATAATGTACAATTATATTATCTTAGTAAATGATAGTTTCTGAATATGTTAACCCTCATCTACGTCGCAATTCCTTTTGATCTTTTATAAAGTAATTTTTTTCTAATGTTCCTTTATTTCGGTTTTTCTTTTTTTTTTAAATAATTATAATAATTTTAACTCTTTTTTTCTTTTGATCATTTATAGTTTCCAAAGTATCATGGTTTATTTAATTATTCACAAAAAGTACAATTAGTTCTTAAAATTAATTAAAACATTATGGAATTTTTTTGAAAATTTTTTTGACTGAAATTTATTTATTACATCCACAAAGTGTTTCTCTATGGGTTTATGTCTTTTATTTATAAATGAGAAGTCTGAAACTACAATGTATTTAACTGTGTTAGGTGGTGGTTGGAGATCATTGTCGGCACTTATCAATATTAGCCTACCTGGAATCTTTTTGGTAACTCATGCTCTCTGTGATATTCAAACCCTCGTAATATCACATATCATCTGACCATTGTGATCACATAGCTTCATTGATAGCATTTGGTCACCACTAAAGGTTTAGACAAGCTTGACATTGATCACTATTCAATTGTAGTGCCGTGCTTCGATAACCGTTATTATACCAATCTTAACGGTGTATAAAATCAGAAGGCATAAGGAAGCGGCAACTACATTTTTATTGATAAATGATGCAGACTAGAAAGTTGTAAGCACATGAGCAAATGTAAGCGAGCGAAGCAAAGATGATGCATAGTGGAGATGGCTGGGAAGCCAACTCGATTTAAGCAAGCGTTAATCAATATTTATAGTCGGACAAAAATGAATGACAGACATGTGATGGATAAGATACGAAGTGTGCATGCACATACGCTAATATAAAAAGTAGTCAAGGTTAATAAGCGAATAATTAACAAGATCAAAATATGACTCAATGTGTAGGTGAATTGGCTTGGCCAGCAACTAGAATAAAGTATATGGGCTTAACATATAAACTGATACTACACAATAATCAACCATTTGTAAAGTTAATAATCTAACTGTAACTGACTCTCAAGAATTTTCTTTATTTAAAGTCATTACGTTATGATTGTGTTGACCAATTATGTATGTATACAGTTACTTTCAACCAAAACCTCTTGCTTTCATTCTTCATACTAAAAAGGAACTTAATCGTAAACTTCAATAAATATATAACTTTTAAAGTACTAAAATCCTTAAAAAAAAACCCATACTAATAACGATCATGTGTTCACTAGTGACTAATTTCAAGATGTAACTCCTGGAGCTCAAGCGAGAAGCCGTAGCCAGTGGAGCTCAATCTATGTCGGGTATGAGACAGTTACCCACCTCAGACAATGCATGATCGGTTGCGCAAGATCATGAACTGATTAAAGTTAGGCATTAACTTCGTTATATGCCGTGTCTGTGATCTAGAGGTTAAGCATTCACGCGCGAGACCGAGGGTCCTTGGTCCAAGTCCCTCGCCCTGAACCACGGATGCGCACTGCTGAAGAGTCACGTAGTAGGACGAAACAGGCGTCCAATGCATCCAGGTTATCAATGGCGGTCTAGCTTATATCGACTCTTGGTTTCAACTATGAATATTTATAACCGTTGAAGATGACTATTTGTTACTCTTCATTTGTATTTTTTTCAAAGAAACTGAAGTATTAGCTGGTTCGAAATGTTTATAATGTTTAGATGCATCATATTTTGTTTGTCAAAAACTTGAGTTTTCGCATAGACAACATCAAGGAAAATATGAAACCGAAATAATCTATTGTCTTCTTTTACCGATTTTGTGTAGGTGGAATCTCAAGAAATAGATAGATTATTACAATGTGTCACTGAATATTATCACACAGTTCGATGGTGTTCAGCATCTGTTAATTCGTCGGATATCTTTTCCAGTACTAATGACCATCAATTAAAATCTATACCAGCTCCCCCTATCTCTCCAGATCAGCTATCATTAATATTTTACGCTATTCTCTTACTGCAAACCAGTCTTCATAATGTAAATGCAGCAAAATCAAGTTTGGGCAAACAGAATGTCAGTCAGTTTATAAAAAATGTACATGGTAAGTATGATTTATCTGTAAATATATGTGTCGTTGTGAAAAACTGTCAGCTATTATTATCCTCTAACAGTCTTCCATGACTTATTCAGTGATTTTTATGACCTTAACGTTTTTTTCTTTTTGTTCTGAATTGTTAGGTAAATAATTACCTCCCACATTTCTTACCCATAAACGTTTTTCATTCCCCCACTCTTCATCAAATTTTCAATCATTACGCAATCTTATTTTGGTAATATCAAGTCTCGGATCACTTTATGACGCAACCTCTTCCCATTCTCCTTTAGACTCATATATTTATCAAACAAATATCAATACAAATGTATAGCTTAAGTAAATGATTTCATCGAAAAGAAAACGTTCTTTCGACAAGTTATCTTTATTTTTATTCACCTAATACATCCATATACTCAAAGGTTTGTCGGGTAAATTTTAATGCATTATGGTGCAATAAGTCAACAATGAAATGGTTACCAATCAATTAAACTTGCAATAAAATGTCCTAAACTGTTTGATTTCAAATTAGTTACATATAAATATTTTCCTTAATATGAAAACTAAAATTCTCAGCTTAGTAGAGTTGTGAGTGGTACGTTTCGTTGATTTCTCTCTGACCGGAATAGAATGGTTTCTCTGATATACGGTTTCCTAATTGATGGAAATTATTTTCAAATATACATATACATATGCTTTTTAAGTATAATAAGGAAAGAATAATTTCGAAAATGATCATACAACTTATGTCTTCAGTATTCACCTTTTTTTAATTATTCAGTAACGATTGCCATTTGAATTCGTTATAATAGCTATTGAAAATCAAGACTGATAATAATATTCCTAAACGTCGAATATGAAACAAATTTTCTTTAAAAACCAAAGGTAATTATTTTAAGCAGAGATGAATAGTTTCTGATAGTGGAACTTAGGACGCATGTTTCGTTCTATTTTGGGACTGGCCAGCTAGATGTACCTGCGTCTCAGAGTTGATGTTTACTCCAGGACTCGAACCTAGAGACTGATCAATTAAAGTCCTAAACTTCAATGGGAAGATTTCAAAGACCATTACGAAATGAATCAAAAAGCAATGATGTTTTGATTTAAAATAAGATATGCTTGCCATATATTATGGACCTGCATAATGAAAATCCACTCTTTAAATTATATATATATATATATATATATATATATATATATATATATATATTGACAAATTTATGTCAGCTAAATTCGTCGTTCTACATTAGCACAACGAGATGAAGTTAAACAAATGAATCGCGGTAGACGTAATAATGAGAAATACTCAACTTTGAGAATATGCTTTGAGGAAAAAGGATTATGCTAACTCCGCAGTCTCAAAGTCAAGCGCTTTCAATGAAACTTGAAGGTCCTACGTTTAAATACCAATATTGTTTTAGACACATATTTCTGAGAAGTCCTATAGTAAAATGATCAATCTGTCGAAAACTAGAAAGTTTTCGACAGATACATAATTGAATCAATCCGTGGTATAAAACTAAAAAAACTGATCATTACTTGTTCGCTTATTATGAGGTAATACAAATAGTTATGACTATGACCAATTTGATTGCCTCAAAAACATGTATATTGAAAACATATCTAAAGCAGTATTTCTACACAAAATGAAAGTCATTTCGTTCCACTGACGTGTCATCTTTTATTCTCAAACTTAAGCATAATAAATGTTTAAAAAAAGGCTATCAGTTCATACTGTAAACAGAAAACATTTCAATACAAAGTAATCACTGAAGTTAAGATATTACAATGAAATCAACTGAAATCTGTGTTAGTTGAATTAAATAATTAATGTTCATAAAGATATGCTCAGTTTGTGGAATAAAAATTATGTAATCTTATAACAAGACGATTAACTCTGAAATGGCAAGACATTTAGATCATAAGTAATGTCCCTTTAAAGTTATCCAAGTAAACAACGGAGATAAGTAGCTAATACATTCATCGACAGTTATTGAAAATGAGATGAACTTGTGAAAAACTTTATAAATACACAGACAATATTCAACTGCTATATTGATTCATCAAAGTAATTGTGGAAATCCTACTGTAAGATTTATCAATTGATGCCACAGCTAAACCCTATTCTACACCACCTACTTCATAGTTCTAACCATTTTGAGAAAAAATTAACCTGTACTACTTCTAGCAAACTTCTTCATTTAAGAAAAATGTAACATTTGTTCAGTTCTTGCTTTATTATTTTCTTTTTGCATCTGACATCAATCACCTACAAGTTTATTGTAAGAGTAAAGAGCTTTCTAAAACGTTTTATAAAGTTTATTGTATCTAAATAATTTATTATCGTAACTTTTTACATGGGAAGTAATTAATTTTAGCAAGAAACAGAAAAATTTATTGGCAATTAAGCCTAATGTTCAAGCTTAGTGTTTTCCATTTGTTATTTTCATATACTTCAGCATTAAACTGTATCCAGTTAATGTGTTTCATTTTCAATCAATAACTAATCGGTATTGACTTAATAATGGACAAGTAATTATCATAATAAGATATATTGAGATTTATTTCAAGACATGGCTCATAATCGCCAAATTATTTTCTTTTTTTTGTCCTATTATTCATGATTGTAAATGGAACTAATTACCAGGATCATTTGTTTATTTAACTAATTTTATTGATTTGTATTCTAGTGGTGCATTTAAAAGGAAACTTTAAGCTTAGATTTCTTAATAATTACCACTCGTCAACTAGAGGTATCTGTCATCTTTAAGGTAACTGATGCTTCCTGTTCTATTTGAAACGGCGTTACACATTTTTACTGTTTGAAACGATACTATTGAATTATTCAGATCGTGACCTACCTCCTCGATGATCTAATTTGATTACTATTTAGTAAGCGATGTTATGCTTGTCTAGTCTTCAACCTAATGTTTATGATAGCAATAAACGTATTATGTACATCCCCTTATCATATTGTTCTATTCAAACAGATTATGAATACTACTTATAACAATGAATGAAAAAAGTCTCCCTAACTTTCCTAAAAGGTAAATTTGATAAATAGATCACTGGTCGGCACATATAACTCAGTATTGTTGAGAAGTGATATTTGTAAGTTAGCTCGACTGACGTTATTCGCAACATTTTCACTATCCACTAACTTTTTTGTGTACCAGAATTTCATCTATTTTTCGCTCTATTTACTAAGTAAGGACTGAAAATTAGAGTATCTTTTATTTAAGATTACAATTCAAACCCCAACAGTTGATTACGCTTGTATTTTCCATCCAGCATGTTAATCAAATTTACGCATTTGTTCATAGCTCACAGTCGCGAGTGACTCAAGGCGTTTAAAGTGAAATTTTTAGCAAAATATGCACTCCAATAGCCAGCAGTCAACTGGCTAAACAAACCACAAATAGCCAAAACTATTGGATGTAACACATTTATTGAACGATCTAAACGTTTTAGATAACGTCAGTCGTCGGTTTCACCTGTGTACGATGATAATGTAAGTGATCTGTGTCGATGGTCGGTGCACTCAAGTTGAATGAAAATTATGTGACCTCCTGGCTTATTTCAAAGTCATACTTCTATGCCAATACCTAACCTGAGTTACTCCGTCGTTGTAACAGGTGCTGTGACTGCTTTGATGACTGAATAGAACAAACATAACCTTATTAAAGAAATAAATTATAGGAACCATCACCGTATTCACTAGTCCATGATATACGATTGATTAATCTGCATTAGTCATCTCTGAACTTAAATATATTCGGCAAGCTATTCAAGCTTCGGTGATCTATTGTCTAACGAAGGAACGATTCAGCTTGATGGACGATTTGTCTAGCGCTCAGTAACAGATCACTGGCCCTACAATATAATTTATTCTTTTGACACCACATTTAAGATACAATATATTAACCGTTGTAATTTCTTACACATTATTAAACAGATCTTATCTTAGTTAGCTGAAGGTGATCATTAAATTTCCCGGTCCTACCTAAGATTCTTGTTAGTTGGTCCTTTTCAGCATAACGTGCCTGTGATGTTCAAGAACCTATCGATCAAGCTGCAGATTTCTTTATGTATGAAATTGTAAAGTTTTACATATCGATATAACTTTCCATGTACCTAACGTACTTAAAAACATGCAACTTAAACTTTAAGTAATTCCATTAACATTCACTCACGTCGTTAACTTTAAATTTACATCATCTAGATGCCTTGATTATCGCTCATTTGTTAACAGTTTGTTTTTATTTCTTGTCTTTTTATTAGTATCTATAGCTTCTGTCAACTCTTTGCATGATTTCATTTTCAACATATCAAAAGTACTAACCAATCTTAAATATGTGAAATATGTTGTTTCTTTTTCTTATTTCCGTTGTTACTAACTAAATGTCATGGATTACATTGTGTAATACTTAGTTTACAATGACATAATTAATTGTAACTATAGGCCATTCACATTTAATAAAAAGTCTTAAAACATAATGAATTTATGTTGTTTGACAAAGTGTATTCTCCGTTTATTGATAACTTACTTTGATTTTCCTTGTTACCTTCAAAGTTCTCCATGTTTTGTCTCTTTTTTCTGCTTTCTCTAGATCTTTTATTAAATCAACCATCTTCATCACCTTCACCATCTTCTTTCATGGCTAAATCAAAGTCAAAGATTGAAAATGTTCATCATAACGGTTTGGTTGATGAAAGTGGCAACATGTTAACAATTAGTAATGAATCCATTCTGGACAATGGAAATAATATTAATAATAACAAATCTTTTGATATAAAACATGTATTCTCAAATCGTACATTAACTGAAATATTTCATCGTATTAAAGTTAGACCATTGGAACCAGGTTCAGATCAAACAACAATTGTCCGACATATATCTAAAGCTATAAGAAATTTGCAAGAAGTTAAAATTTTAAACATTGATGACATTGATAATGAATCTTTATTCACGAATAATCCATTTGAATTAGTGGAACCACATCGTCGATTGGTTTGTTATTGTACAGTGATTCATGTAGGTTATAATTTGTTCTACATTTTTATTTATTATACAATTTATGATAAATCAGAGTGTGTAAGATAGTGATGATTAACACAGTTTGTCATCCATACAAACATATAGTACGTAAATCATTACCAGTACACTTCAGATTCATGCCAAATCTGTTTACTGGAAGAAACTCATTTTCCATTTCGGGAACAATAACAAGACAGAGTGTATACACATGCTATAAAACTCTCCTTGTGCTTGACATGCAACAATAGCGTCATAAATTGCTTTACCAGCGTTGACAAATTAGACAAACTGAAGGTCATGAAAATGTCATTAGATTATAGAAAAGATTAGGAATCGTAATAGGAATAGTAAAAGAACTAAGGAATTCTCAACAATGTTATATCAACTGTTATATCGATGTAGTAAATGCCAGAATCGCTTTTTTGAAACGCTATATATTTTTAGTTGTTTTTAAAAAAACAAAGATGTCCCATTTCAAGCGCAATTCGCTATCTACTTTCTATGATGCAATTTTAAAAAAATAGATTATGCTTTCAGTTTACTTATTCAAATCGCAGCCAATTATTAGATAGTGAACTGTGTATACGATAGTGACAATTTTCTTTTTGAGAGAGTTAAATCCAATTGTATAGATGATATAATCAATACATTTAGTTGAAAATGATCAATCACCGGAGTATATTGAAAGTTAAACTTAAAACTGAAATTAAAACCGATTAGTTTCTGAAATTGACCCAAAGTGAATTTCTCCATAAACTTTGAATTAAATTATATCAGAGATCATTTCAAATCTCATTTTATCATCAGTTAACTGTTGAAAGTTTAGAAAATCAATCAATCACAACATGATATTATCTATATATATGCTTGTATATTAGATTAATTTTCTATGTAATAAACAGTTTATTCAAAACAACTATACTTATTTGTTTATTCTAACTTGATCAAATCCCAAAACCTATTAAGTTAATTATCGTTCAGTTGATAAGTTGTATTAGTTTGACAAATGTACATAATCTCGGCTGTTAACCGAAAGGCTGGTGGTTCGTGCCCATCCGGAGGCGGTAGCCACTATGCCCCCAAATGCCCTGGTACGGCCGAGAGTGGGGAGAGTCCACTCTCCCTCTCGAAATGCTCTCACATGGCCACCCGTATATAGTCTCTGACAGGGAAGTTCTACTCACCGCCTTCTCGTGGCATTACTGTTGTTTACGGAATTGAGAGGACGAAAAGCGAATGTCCGGTGCTTTAACCGGGTTGGTAGACACGGAAAGTCCACCTAGGTGAGTTGGAAAACCCTGATTCCAAACCAATGGTGCACATGGGCTCCAGCATCCTGAAGGAACAAATGGCGTATGAACCTATTGTTGATCACCGGCTACCATGAGACTGAATCTCCTCACTGTGCTTCACTGCCTTGTGGGTTAGACCTTCAGGTCAAAGTCTCCGGATGTGGCCCCCTAAGAAAACCACCTGTTTCAGTTTGAGCACTTGGACAGTATCACAGCCCTCACACAAATCGAATGAGATTTGTGCGGCGCATATGTATCTGGTGCTTCCTTGTACCAATATTTATGTGTTTAAATAATATTGATCTCCCTCTCTTTTTTGTTTCTTTTTCTATTGTTATTATTATTATTAATTTTTCATAAATATAAAAAAATACTTATTTAACATTTATTTATCTTTCATGTAATTCAATAAATATATTACATGGATTTTCATTAAGATTAGTTACCTTATCAACTATTTTCTCACATTAATTTTTCCTATTCATTTGTTTCAATTTTATCATTATTTTCATCATTTCAATTCATCTACTACGAATGAATACAGGTATATACATATTTATATAATTTTAATCATTTACAAAACCATTATATTGAAAAACTTCATTTATACGTTTGATGAAAAACTGAATAGTGTGAAGAAATTTCCCCTTTAGTTAGTTATCCACTAATTTATTTATTTTATTTATTTAAACACATAAATATTGGTACAAAGAGGCATCAGATATATATGCGCCACACAAATTTCATTTCATTTGTGTGAGGGCTGTGATACTGCTCAGGTGCCCAAACCGAAGCAGGTGGTTTTCTTAGAGTACCACACCCAGAGTCTTTGACCTAAAGATCTGATCCACTAGGCAGTAGAGAATCGTGAGGAGCTGCAGTCACATGGTAGCCGGTGACCAACGATTGATTCATACGCTATTTGTTCCCTCAGGATATTGAAGCCCATGTGCACCATTGGTTTAGAATCAGGGTTTTCCAACTCCCTCCATGTCCACCAACCCGGTTAAAGCACCGGACATTCGCTTTTCGTCCTCTCAATTCCGTAAACAACAGTAATGCCACGAGAAGGCGGTGAGTAGAACTTCCCTGTCAGAGACTATATACGGGTGGCCATGTGAGAGCATTTCGAGAGGGAGAGTGGACTCTCCCCACTCTCGGCCGTACCAGGGCATTTTAGGGCTTTACATTAAAATATTTATATATATGTTTAATAATGATGGTCTAACATTGAACGGTTCAAGGTCCCAACTGAAACTCAACAATCTTCGCAATCTCTGTACTGTTCACAGTGTTTACAAAAATACTATCAAATGATTAATTGGATAATTACAAGACTGAAAGATTATCATCATCAAAGTAATGATTTGTAAAAATGCAAATTAAACAGTGAAAGAAATTGGGAAATGATTAGTATGGGAGATTTGTGGAAATTTCAACTATGAAAATTAGAAAATTTTTTGAATATGTCTTTTTGTTTTTTGAAAGAGTACGGTTAATCAATGGTCAGCTTAAACACACTGGCTTATCAATTGCCAAGACAGATAGAGCTGTTGTTTAAAATTCTTTTAATTGCAAGGATTAGGCTTGGGAATACCTATTCTATTAGCTTTAGTAGTATGCAAAAGATAATGACTTAAAACACACAGTAAATCTGATGGAATATGGTGAATAACTTCAAAAGCTTTATTCAAGTCAACATGGTTTTCGGTGCCAGTCAATTGAAAGACAGTAGAACTCTTAGTCTCTCTTTCCTCTTCTTCACATGACTGAAACGGATAGTGTTCTGCTATATGATGATGGACTTGGAGAACTATACGTTTCAAGTAACTGGCTCCACAACATCACTTGAATTGAATAACATACATGAATGTGGCGAATTCAGGCAGTCTATTTTATTACGGGTTTTCATAAACGGCCGGCTGTAGAAAACTGCATTCATTTTGGCTGCAGTAAATGTTTTTTGAACTGCTTTTTCTAACCTTTGTATTATTATTTCCTCAGTAGAGTTATTTAGGAACTGAAAGTTCGAGGACAGTAACTTCTTCGAAACTGTTGTTACCTTTGATCCTATGTTTATTTTATTCATAAGTTTGTTGATGAACTTAGTTGAATATCCATTCCTCCTAAAAAGAGTATGAATATTACTCTAAAAACCAAAAATCACTCGATAACTAAGGAATTAGAACGATTTCTCACATGATAATGAGAAAGTTGTCAGTATCTTCAGGGTCAGATAATAGAAAACAAAAAAAATTGAAATATTCATTACACTTTAACATAATCTATGACTTTTGCATACAACTTAAAAGTTCTTAGAATTAAAATTTCAAGAGCTATCCACATAGCTATTCTTCACTATGAATAGAAAGCATTCTCCCATTCTAACTTCAAATACTTACTTCAACCTTTTGTTCTTCCTTTCTATGATGAATAATTCAACATGAAAATATTCATTAATCATTTCAAAACTGTTTATTGTATGATAAATTGCTTTTTAACCAAGCACTATTTTCTGACTGGCTAGTTAGTTATTCATAATTATCAGTATAATTTACTTCAACCATGAATACTTATCGGCGTTATTAATTCTCAGATTACTTCCTAATCAATTGGTAATATGTTGATTGTATGATTTAATTCATCTTTCCTCCTATAATTTTAAGATAATGTAATAGTTTCGTTTTTTACCTGGTGTTATCATTTCTGGTTAGTTAAGCTTAACTTATATTTTTAGTCCATATTGGAGGTAAATAATCACTCATTTGTTGTCATCCTCATCATAAGATGAAATACAATAGTGTTAATAGAATTCACATATTATTTGCTTCGGGTACCCAAATCATAGGATGTCACTCTTTCTGGGAGACTGTAAAAAATGTTTACATTTTAATGGTGCACATTTGTACAGATTTCATCAACTACAAATTATGCTTACATGGAATAACCAACATTGTATTGAGTTATCAAATCAACTACAATTAATTAGAATATACCATTTCTGTTGTTCGTTCAATATTTTAATTTAATCTATTTTAGAAGTATACAATTATCGAAATAATTTTTTCAGATCTTAGATTTGTTTTACTGAAGTAATTATGTATGTGAACTGAAAAACATGCTTACCTGGTTTTGTGAAATGTTCACAATCTATTGTAATGTCCCAAACAATAAGATGTAGATGGAAATAACTATAAAGCTTGACATTTTCGCTGTTTTCCTCTATTTTGAGGAACGAGAGATGAATACATTCAGATTTATGCCTATTTCAGCTTCCTCTCAAGAGAAATGATTTTCAGACAATATAACTCACTTGAGTTATCTAGGAAGCATTGGACAAACATTTTATCCTATTATATATCATCAACAGGATGTATACACAACCCCTCCAGGAATTAAACTATAGTTTTCATGCCTCGTGGTAATCACTTCACTTCAACCTAGTTTTCGATAATTGTATGGGTAAAATCAATCCGTGTTGTAATCCACAAAATTCAACATTCTCCACAAACCTTATATTACGGAAAGAATATAATTTATTATACAATAAATGCTTTACTATGGATCTATAGCTAAAGTAACAAAATAATCGATCACCACTAACATTCGTAATTTGTTTTTCTTACTGCTTCCGTTGTTTGCTTTTCTTATCTAAAGATTAATCAGAATCAACCTCCTCATAAAGAAACCAGTATCCTACGACATTTGTTTGTTTTTAATGATTTAATTATTATTGCAAAAGATACCTCTTCAAAACGTACTTCTGGTAGAAGATTAGTTTTTGACAAGTCAAGAAAAAATCAATTAAAAATAAATGATAAGAAGTTATCACCAGGTCAATATGATGACTTTCTTCGTCCACCATTAGATTTATTGTATACCGATTGTGATAAAAAATTTAAAATAATGAATACTGGATCGAATACACTTAGCTGTATGCAACCAACTGTTGGTTGTGTACCTCATAGAGTAGGAGGTGGAAGAGGAAGAAGAAGCAGATCAAAAAATGAACTTTATAGTCGAAAGGCAGCTGATTCTACTTCACATTCCTATACACGTCTTACTGCTTTATATGCTTTTTCATTATATAGATGTAAAATTCGTCCTTTTAAAACTGATGGTAAGTGAAAAATTTATACATATCATTATTAGTTCAACTTTATCATTTGAAATTTACGGTATTAATTGAATTTTATCTTGTAATTCAATAGTGCTATGATGAAACAGTTTGTTATATCTTCAGAAACTAATCGATATCACGTGCCAAAATCGTCAGTCAAAATTTAATTAAAATATTTCTTTGAGATCATGGATCGATGAACGTTAGACTACTATTGAAGACCTGGAAGCACTGAACAACTGTTTTGTCATGGTATGGGACTCTTCAGCAGTACCCATCCACTATCCCACATGCGGGAATCAAACTCAGAAACTCCAGTCTCCCGCGCCTACCCTTAGCCTCGCAGGTTTTCAATGGTTGTCTTACACTGATCGATTCGTGATCTCAATAAAAATTCACAACCCTAAACTTATGCTTTCTCGGTCTCGCATTCGCTATTCCGTTTATAAATTAGCGTACCAGACTTGGCCAGTTATGTATTCTGACTTCCACAGCCAACCTTGGGCCAATATGTGCTACATCTCTATGGTCCGTCTATACACAAGACTTTCTCTATCCCAGACTCAAGTTAAAAGGAAAGTTAGCATCAGAGCTTCCATTATAAAATCTCAATTGATCTGCCAGCCACTATCTCGGACATCCATTAGCTTATATACACCAATTAGCAGGCCGCACAGCACAACAATTAGAAAATCATACTTTAAATATAATCGTGCTATAAGTCACGGAAAACGAAGTAAATAGTGCATAATTAATTGGCAATAATTAGGGAATAGTAGGTCCGTAGGAAGCTTACATTAAGAAAAATATAAAAATACAATAAAACAGTTATCCACTATGTAATAAAAATATATATATCAATCTGAACAATAATTCCAAATGTTCTAACTTCATTAAATTCGTCCCTTTAGAATACAGTTCATTGATAAAATTAAGGAATCATTGAGTTAACCAGTATTGTGTGTGAGTTGATTCAAAGAAAAATGTGGTCAGCAGAAAGTAGATAATCTGCAATATGAAAGCTTAAGATATCTCAAAATATTCATTTGCTAATTAACAGTGATATTTGGTCTCAATTTCCTCTTTTTCAAAATGATTAAATGAGTGGAATTTCTTATTGTATGAAATATGTTTAATAGTGTTTATAGACAATTTTCCAAGAAATTTGATTATTTCAATGAAGTTTATTGATGTAATCAAAGTTAAATACTAAGATTAGTGTTGAAAATTTTAGTTTCCTTATTATTGTCCGAGTAATCAGGTCAGCTGATTATATAATCCACTAATTACTAGTGAGCTTCATACCTGTCGAAATAACAATCCTTATTTTGACCAATATACAACTATCATGAATTTCAGTCCCTGTTAGTCCACAAAATTTTATCCCTTCAGTCTCAAATCTGGAGACAAAAATAGCAAGTGGATTTAACCTTATATTACTGTACTGTATTTGTCATCCGTATTCAAGAATTCAGTCTATTACATAACCACAAATAAACATTCACAAATTGTACATAACTGAGCTATACTTGATTTCAAATAAACTGAGCATTGCGTAGAGAGTTAATGACAAATATATTTTTCAGAGGGGGTTTTGTGGAGAATTTAGTATTTTCACAGTTAAAATCATGAGTCAATTGAAGCTAGACCACCATCGAAAACCTGGAAGCACTGGTGAACGGTCGCTCAAAATCGTGGGTTGGTTGAAGTTAGACATTAACACCGTTGGATACCGGCCGGTTCATTGGTCTAGAGGTTAAGGGCTCTGGCTCGAGACTTGTAGGTTCTGGGTTCTAATCTTGCGAGTGCGGGATCGTGGGTGCACACTGCTGAGGAGTACCATAATAGGACGAAACGGCCGTCCAGTGCTTCCAGGTTTTCGATGGTGGTCTAGCTTCAATTGACTCATGATTTCAACTGTGAAAATATATTTATTGTTATATCCCAATGAGTAGAAAAATTGTATTTCTGACGTCTGTTGACTTAATTTAAGCCACTTCTTCAGAGTAAATAAATAGCCGACGCTAAATTAACACAGGTTTAAATAGTACAACGAAATGTCAGGAATACAATTTCTCTTCTCCCTGGGATATAACAAATATATATTTATTACAAGTTATGTTTGATATAAAATATGTACATTAAGTTCATACTTAATTAACGGTAATTTAAATAAACTAAAGCTTACGACAACAGTTAATAAGTGAAATGAGATCTGACAATAAGACCATTACAAAATTACCATAAACTAAGTACTTAAAAATGACACCAAAAACTGTGAACAATTATTCTCTATAAAATTATTCTGGAAGTTTCATCTTTACGAATTATGTATCCCAGCCAAACAATAAGTTTCCTTCACCAATTTACAAGATACAAACACATTAGTTTATGTATAATGTTTAAAACGTTACAAATGATTTATAGTCTATCCTTGAGATTTTTCTCTCTATATCCATTAATCTAAGCTAAAAATAAGTTTAATTCATTTTTGTATTGGTTGTTTGAATCTTTCCGTTGATGTTTAGGATTACAATTGATCAGTTTCTTATTGGCACATATGTATCTTGTGTGGATTGCCTCAATATCGTCTTCAGTTGCAATCATTATAAGCAGAGATGGATGGTGGCTAGCAGTTGAATCCAGGACGCGCGTTCCGTTCTATTTTGAACTGATCAGGTAGATGTACCTGCATCTCAGAGTTGATGTACACTCCAAGACTCGAATCCAGTACCATTCGTGGCCAATAGCAGTCTTAAAAATCAATAAGAAAATTCAATCAACCAATACAAAAATAAATTAAACTTCATCCCATTGCACAAGCCAGTGGCTATCTGGACTCAGTATCTAAGAAGATAAAGCGATGGTGTTTGGAGAGAACGGTAATAGGTTTGAGTCCCGGAGTGAACATCAACTCTGGGATGCATGTACATCCAGCTGACGAGTTCCAAATAGAACGAAACACGCGTCCTGGGTCTCACTGCTATCCACCATCCATCTGCTTTTAATGACAAGTTCTCTATCTAATTCTATTTAGTCAACAATTTAAGATCATTAGTATAAATTATTGTAGCGCATAAAACCATTTGTACTATCCTCATTTTTTTCTTACATCTCAACATATATATACTTATAATGACTACAAAACTTGTATTTTTTGTTGATATCATAGTGTATCGTTATGGAATAGAATTATGGAAATTTCCTAAGCCAAGAACATCACAAACGACATTGATTAATCAACAACCGGAACAAATGATTATTATTGCTGCACTTGATAAAAATGATTATGAAAATTTATTAAATGATTTATATCAAGCATTATGTGAAACAAATCTTGTTGCATTCGAACTAAAATAATATACTTTCAATGAATTCATTTCTTTGACTTCTATCGTTATATGATTACATTTGTATTTTTATTTATCACTACTTATTTCTTATAAACTACTCAATTACTTTTACGTCAAATAATATACATATATATATCAAGTATGTTTGCATTCCTAAACGATATATCTTCCTCATGTCTCTCACTCTTCCACCTCCCTCTCACACATATACTCTCCCTCTCTCTCTCTCTCTCTACGTCTTTTTTTATCTCAGATGATATAAATAAAAAATAGTAAAATCTTCATTTGATCCATCATAATTTTCTTCACTGTTTCAACACATAATTACTGTTTTTTCACTTTTCTTCTAGTAAACTAAATGTATTCAGATATATGTTTATATAATAATAATAATATTTGGTTCTTTTTCTTTATAACAACTATTGATTGATTGTTTGTTTTTTTCATTTTGTTCTACTTGATTTTACTGTTCTATTCTATCGCTCCTCGATCTGTCCTCCCTCTCTCTCACACACACACACACACATATACATACACTCATATTATTTGTTTTTTTTGTAACTAGTGTAGTCATTCGTAAGTTTTGCTGTGTTTTTTTCTTTTTTCGAAGAAAAACAATCAATAAACTTTATTTTTTATTCAAGATAGAAAATGTCATTGCAGCTATGTCTTTTTTTTATAATGGACTATATTCTTTGATTTATTTATGCATTGTAGAATGGGTTCCCCATTTGTTTTTTTTGTTTCGTTTTTTTCATTTCTTGTCATTATTGTTCAAATGCCACAATTTTCCTGACTATTTTATTTATCTCTGAATTTTTTTTCTCTATTTTTTCTGTTTTTCTCGTTGTTGAAAAGAAAAAGAAAAAAACATCTTTAAAAAATAGTTCTAGATTACTTTAGTTAGAATATATATATATATATATAAAGTTTACTGTTCAATAACTTTCATTGAATATCATAGTTCAATATTTATAATAAAATGACATTTCCCTAATCACTTACCAAAAATAAACACTATTATGATTTATTGACAACATCATGATGATGACGATGATGGTAACGGCTAGATCATCGATTAGAGATACATTTTTCAAACTGTCATCATTTTTTTTTCATCTATACTTAGATTCTGTTAAGATTTCTTTTTTTTTTTAAATCTTCTTTTACTATATTAGGTATCATTTTAGTCGTAAAGATTAATGAATAAAAATATGATTATTCAGATTTCAGAATATCTTCTGTGATTAGAATATTTTTCTTTGTACATCTTTCATTGTATCTTGTTAACTTCTAGTCATCTTGTATACATATTTTGTTTGCCATGTTGATTTATTGATTGGAAGATATTTAACTATTCGATACTACTGTGGTGATATATATTAATAATAATAATAATTACTTTTATTATCAGAAGGGATTTTGTGGAGATTTAGTATTTTCATAGATGAAAGCGTGAGTCAATTGAAGCTAGACCACCATCAAAAACCTGGAAGCACTAGACGGCCCTTTCGTCCTACTATGGGACTCTTCAGCAGTGAGCTTCAATTGACTCACGCTTTCAACTATGAAAATAATTACTTTATTCAATATTATATTTTTGGTACAATATAGAATTCTCAACACAAAGTATTTCAAGAAGTTTCCGTTACTTATTTCTTGATCTATCCCGACGATAAATATTAAGTGATCGCCAATTGGATGTTAGAAGTTCAGGAATCGATATCTGTATAATGTGCATTCTTTGCGAAACACCACCACTATGTCTCTGATTGTACTTCTTTGTAAGTTGTACAGCGAAGGGTCGTAAACTTTTCATAAACACGGTTGAATAGGTTATGCAATTAACAGACATAATGATGTGTTAAAAAGAAAAACAGGAAACAGATAACTTGCTGAAATATCTAGATGTCAGGAACAGGTAGCACAGATATTTAGGCAGACCGCCAGAATATATATATAGTTGAAACAAACTGATCTTTGACCTTTGTCAATTTAAAGGAGTCATGAATTTAGTTTGTCATGATTTTCCAATAAGAGCTGAATTTGTGTATTTTTTAGTAATCAAACTGATCATAACGAAAATCTAGTTCAAACCTGTTCAGAAACTGTTATAAATAATAATTTTCATTTTCTCTAACAGGAGTATGGATTCAGAAATAATCAAATAACTGTTAAGTAACATTAAATATAGCATATTTATTAAATGATACATGTTGAAACGCCATCTCAGGACAATGACAACAATTTATCATGACAAATGATATAAATATAAATACTAACAGTATCAATGGTAATAGAACAAAATTAGGCATAAACAATATAATTTGAGAAACAAAAATTCTTGGAATAAAAATTATATTTTAAGTTTAAAATTTAAGATCTAGAAGAAGATAAAAAATGGGTACATCTCCGTTACTGCAGTCGATGCTAAGACATATCATTCAATGTTTCCAACTATCAGTTAGGTTATCACAAGCATTTCAACCAAGTAGTTTACACTTGTCAACATGGCTCAATTCAAAGGCTTGCTCAACTAAGGTCCTTAGGTTAACAGTTGGAATCTTGTGACTTATCGTCATATAAACAAACTTTAAATCATTCCAGATAGTTCTTTGGACATTCATATTCTTACATAAATCATACAATAATTATTCCGTTATAACATTAACTTATGTTTAAATATGAAAATTCATCAAAATTTGAACTCTCAGTTTGATAGGAATCAGGAACCAATTATGTAAAAGATACCATATGAAAACATAATGTTCCAAATAATCATAGAAGTCTGAATAATTTCAACGCTCCGCCCACCAAACTGGTTCGCACAAAATAACAGCTACAGCATCATATTCACAATTTTTCTGAATGTTTGAGATAAGACAATTGAAGATCGATTACATCACAAACTGATTGATTTTAGCTAGATAGCCATTAAAAATCAATGGCCACAAGATAGGCATAACAGTCATGGGTGTACATTGCTAGGGTAAAACAGCTGACCAGTTTTCACTGACAGTCCGGAAAAAGTCAGTCGATTATCCAAACTATCGACCTACTAAACATAAATCCTAAGACTAAAGTGGTCGCTTGTCCATTTGTACAAGAGATATAAGGAAGAAGAAACACAGGATTTTAAATCATAACTTTCACGGCCTTCCTTTCTAAAGATTTCCTTAATAAACATTTAATGTAGCTCATAAGAATACGTAAACATTAACTTTGAATTGCGAACAACTTTCCTAGGTAAAAATGTTTACTTGCACTAGCGAAGTTACCTGTTTTATGATAATATACAGTGGTATTGTAAAACACATTAATTAATCTTTGAATATATAAACCCATTATGCAGGAATGTAAATGTTAAGCCCGTTTTACGTTCTCTTTCCTTATTCACTTTCCTTTGACTCTTAAGTGTATTGTTTCTACTACTTATAAATATTCAGTAAACAATTGTGTTCCTAGCAATTTCTACGCAAGTGCATTATTCCGAAATATTTACACATACTAATAACATTTATTGTATATATCATGATAACCACTTTCAAATCTTTTGGCCGTTATTATCAATTTTTTATACGCAACGGTTTCCATACTGCTTGCTCTTGCTAGTTGATAAACTGCTATTAAGATTAGACACTGCTATCATTTGCGTTATCGTATGTTGTGTTTATTCTTTATGTTATTATTTCAGGAAGCCTTTTTTTATTTCAGACTCAAGAGGAGCCACAGATACCTCACAAGTTGAGGTTTGTAGCTAATTAATGTATATTACTTAACAAGAAACCGCTTTTTTAGACAAATCGTTGTTTTGTGAACTTCGATTTCGCGCGTATCTCAATTGTGTGATTTAGACACTTAGATAGATTTAACAGTAGATCACTGTTTTGTGCCAATTTCATGTTCACCTACAAAAAGTGGATTCAAATTCTATGCAAAAACATTTAATGGAAGACAAACTACGAAAGATTAGGGGAAAAAATGTATGAAAATAAAACTGTAGATTTGATTTTTATTTGCAAATTACTTAAAAGCAAAGTGAAGAATTACCAGGTGATTAAAGTAGTGATACTAAGACGAAACGGCCGTCCAGTGGTTCCACATTTTCGATGGCTATCTAACACCAGTCCATTCATGATATCAATTTAAACTCAACAATCTCCACAACCCTATACTGATTATTAGAAATGTCCAAATTATATGTAAATATGGAATTAATAATACTAGAAAGAAAACGAATTTTCGAATGTCCAAACTTCTAACCCATATGTATAAAGAACTCTCATGGGCTTTTTTGAGGTATGTGGTTCATGAAGTAACTCATAAAAGCTATTTAGTATAACTTATTTGAATACATTTCATTAGTAATCGTAAAGGTAGTCATTTTAATTAAACGGTTTAGCCTTAAAAGGTTTGATTTGATAAAATTTCATTATTAGTATGTACTGTAATAAAAGCCGATCATCAAGGTAACTAAATTTGAAACGCTAACAAATTTGATGAACAATACCTTAGTTATTTATGAGTTTGAAATAATTAAGCAAACATTGAAAAACATGAAAAGTTTCCAACCTACTTCTTAAGCTACTGATGAGTAGTGTAAGATAATTGCCAACTATTTTCACACCATAACACTGTGATAATGCAATTAAAATACAATTATATCAACCATTTATTTCAAGGCTGATGATAGACCTTGTTGATGTTGAACTCTTCTAATTAACAGTGTTATCCGAAATTTGTTTAGATTCTTGTCAAACAACTCTTTATAATTCGTCATGAATTCTTCATGGAAACATGTCAATCAAAACCTTATCGTTTTATCGCTTTTAATTTTTCTTATGATTAGCGAAAAGTCATTTCACTACCTACCAATCAACAAATAGCTTAAAATAATTGCATAAGATCTGAGCATTGGGAGACGTTTATTATAATTTATTCAATAAAGACATGAACAACATAATTCATTTACAGGTTTACACAGTTATTGATATGACCTCTGAGTTGTAACTAGCTTGTCCAGGTCCCCAACTTAAATTAATTCATAATACAGAGCAATAACGATTAACTTGGTCTTAAGATTGATCCCCAAAGAGGTCATGGATACGCCATGTTGACGAGTTTCTTGCCCGTACGAAACATCTATCTCACTAGTACCCCAACTTAGATCAATCTGTGATAAATGTAATCCACAAATCAATTTGTAATTATTATTTATTCTCGTAAAACATAAACTAAAATATACATGTTGTAAATTTGAAGCATCATAAATCTCGTTCATTCTAGTTCACTAATATAATACAAAATAAAGCCTTACTCAATATCGAGTAAGAACGCTGAATACGATAATCTATGGTTAAAATATTTCTATGCACATACCATACTTTGACAGAAATGAAATTTTTTTTAAATCAGCAATAATAAGCTAGGTAATTCGGTTAATATTGTCGTTTTGTAATGATGATTATATAAATTAATATCAGTTTTTTGGGGTTTCGATTTCATAGCTGATTTCAATTCATGACGAAAACTTTAACTTCCACCGTTCAGTCATAATATTAATTCCTCGTACTAATCTAAAACTCTCTTTTAGTAGATGCGTTTTCTCAAGGCCACTTTTTCGTCGTTCAAAACCTCGTCCATAAAGTGTAGCCTTATTGAATATTCTACAAGGCATACCCTACAATTATGTTTAGCAGGATATGAAAAACGTTCATTTTATAGCTTAAATTTTTGTCCTTGAATTTCAATACATCTCTTAACAAGAAGAGCCAGCCTAGCCGAAAATCCTTCAGTAAACATGAAAAAACAAAAAGATCATTTAGAGTTGGAAAAATCACTAAACCTAACCACAAAACATTTGGCAGTGAAAAAACTAAAAAACGTTTGCTTGAGGATTAGCCATTCTCTGAAGCTTCAGCATAGATGGTTCAAATGCTTCTGAGCGGAATCGACGAAGCTTTCACTTAATGGGCTTTCGTATCTAGTAGCAGTGGATCACTGATACCTGAAGGTATAAACCTAGGTTTATTTAACGACAAAAAAGGAAATATTAATAAATCGTACTATCTTGAGCCCATAAAAATATGTCAAGTTTCCCCATAGAGGACTCTTGAGGAGTCTCTTGGGCCACTTCAACCAGCAGAAAATTTCGGAATCGGGCTACTCTTAAAGAATAGAAGATGCTCCCGTAGTACATTATGCCATCTGAAGGTCTTCTAGCAATAGTAGGTCATTAAAGCCATTAATAAACAATAAGATGATGGGTACATGAATCTAAACTCGTAAAAAATTAGTGTGAGACTCATTAACAGGTCTTTAGATAACTTTCACAACTGTGATGAACAGGGAATATGATCACTGAGTGAAAGCTAGCATCTAGTTAACACCTGTGTATATGAGTATGACCATACCGTCTTCAACTAAATAATGTTCTACCTCT